GGCAGGACCAAAAGAACTGTGAAAGGAAGAGGGCATATTTGATTGCTTTTTTCATTGGTGCTGACTTCAGGTCCTTATCTGATGTTTATACTTTAAAAAGTGTTGAACAAAAACTGCTTTATTATGCTATATTTCCTTTTTTTGTGCCAACCTCAAGCTTCTAAGACCATGAAACCATGAAAAAATTACACAATGCTTTTCCCATCATATGGATTTCCAATTAAAATGCTAACATAAATGTAAATGATAAAGATGTCTTCCGCGATATACCTTGGCTAGGTAAACCTTCCTTCCCTTTATGAGGTCAATTGCTTCTGTGAAATAGACCTGGAGAAACAAAAATATTTTGCAACCATTTTGGTAAACTTTACCAGAAGTTGCTTTTTACTGACACAGCATATTATGAATTCAAAGCTGAAATTCCTGGACTTTAGCCAAAAATGCATTAGCAAACACTCACAAACTATTCTACCATACTGTTAAATAGAGTCTACTCATTTGATATATCAGAGGATCTCTTGTCATATCTTTAATACCTTTACTCTTGAAATATAACATAGTATTGTATCGACTCATTCAATATCATAACATTTATGCACCAAACTGACTTCAACAGAAGGTTACTAATTTTGCTTCAAAAAGAAGTGTTTCTTGCCTGGCAGAGCAAAACACCTCCTTTCTGAGGAGAATAGTTAAGGAGTTTTGAAAGCAATGTACCCTAACAAAAACAATCCCTCGCTTGTCTTTATCCCTTGGCTGAAGGTAAGGATTAACTGTTTATTTGATATGCCTACCTTATAGTAATCAGTATTCATGACTTTTTCGTTAGAAAGGTCAAATCCTGAGTCTCTGAGTTGTTCACAATTCTCCCTCTTTTCTTCTTCTGAAATCTGTTATCATAAAGATTGAACTTATCAATTCTAAAAATTTAAATTCTTAAAGAAATAAAAATCTTACATCTTCTCTTCCATACAAGATGCACAATCTGTTTGATAAATAAAAGTTGCATGACAGCAAGATCAAATTCTGTAAGCATTGTTATAAGGAAAAGGTATTGAAAGTCTGTAGAAAGTTTGTGGAAAGTGTAAGGTTTTTCTTTAGAAAGCTAACCATCCAAAATTTTGTTCCATGCTTCTTTTATTAAATGCAACCCAAAAATACTATGAATGTTTTATAAGCAACAAAGGAAAAGCAAACCTTGTTAAAACTGAACTAATCCTACAAAAACTACAATAACGCTGTTACAGCAAAACAAGACAAAAGTATCCCATACTGTTTGGTAATGCAAATTATTCATCTGCAGAAATCTATCAACTTCATCTGATGGCTCTTGCTGAAAGCGATATCTGAGGAAGGAAAATAATTGTCTGTATTTAGCAGTTGAATCTAAATTGACTTTCATACTCCAACACAAAAACAAAAGATCCACTTTTACAGGTGGCCTTTGGCCTTCAACATATTGTTTTGAAACTCTTATATTTAGCAACACTTTGATGTTCAATCTAACAGATAGAATTGCAGAATCTGATGTGACCTTAAGTATCTTGTCTAAAAACAAAAGTTTAAGCACATCTAGTGTTATTGAATGTTATAAAAGTTCATTGAAAGCGAAAAATATCTACACTGGAGGTATTAAAAGCTCTTAATATTGGGAACATATGTCCCTAGGTTTCGATTAAAAATAATGACAAGAGAACTGCAACTGAGAAGGGCAACAGTTGATTTTTCTTTCAACAATCAATAAAATATGATTCCAATGAATAAAACTAAATAATACTGTGCAGTTTGAGGACATAATCTAAATTATATACTGAATTTAACTCATCATCAACAGAAAAGAAGAATTAAAAAAAATACCTGAACAGCTCTATTTCTTGATTTAGAAACCATCTTCGTAAATCTTCCCTTTAGAAAAAAAAAGAATCATTCAGATGAATAATTATTGCTAACACATATATCTCTTTCAATTGGCTGGCACTTAAATAATTCCAGGGTATCTCAACTGCATGATGAGACTAGTTGCTAAAATGTAGCAGTTTCATTTGCTAAAATAGACTAGTTGCTAAAATGTAGCAGTTTCATTTGCTAAAATAGACTAGTTGCTAAAATGTAGCAGTTTCATTGTCCTACACATATATACATTAAGGGGCATTCAACAACAGGTTATGGAATAATGTAGATCAGAAGCACCTCAGCAGGTTCAGGCCTGGCCGTTTGTATTTTTATAGGTGAGCTGTGAATCGCTTCCCTCATTTGCTGAGGCGAGCTAAATCAGTAACACATAGAATGTACTTCAAAGAAAATCGACAGATGACTTAATAAGCCCCTTTAGTATCTGTTGGTTGCCTTTAATAGCCGCAGTCAGGAGTATGCTGTTTTACTTCTTTCAATTTGTATTTGCTTTAACCGTGACTTAGGCACCCCCTTTACTTGAAGTATTTAATAGAACAGACTCTTTCAGTTTCATGTAAAGCTGGCACAACACAAAAACAACAATTCTCTTGCAAAACAATCTTTTTGTTGTACAGAATTTAAAAATGGCTTTGAAAAAAAAATTTTTAAAACAAGCTGAAGTTATACGTCTAGCATTCTTCAGATAATAAAACGTCAAAACATAGATGGAAAACTCTACGCTAAAATACCCAGTTTTGGATCGAAATAGGCCAATCAGAAAACGCGAGCACATGACTGTTGAGGTTGTCCAATCAGTGCCGCTTTCCTATTGAAAATGTTACCAACGGAGTCCTAAGGTGAAAACGAACTCACTTATGTCTACACAAAAGCGGTTGGTCATGTTTTTATCGTAGATAAATTCACAAACTGCTGGATGGAACGAAGATCAGGCTTTGCCAATAATGCCAAACATGTTGCCGTTATAGTTTTCACCCAATCTGGGTTTTTCAGTAAATGCCGCTGGATAGTGGAATTCCATGTTTTTGTTGTCGTTTTTGATCTGCAAGACAGAGTACCTTGTTCTCTTTGCGAAATAGTTTTGTTTCTATTGCTGGAAGGGACCTGCTGTCTTATTATATCCCCAATCTACAATTCCTACCAATTTCTTCGACTTTCCTTCCAAAAATATTCCTGTTTTCTTAAGATTGAAAGGTTCTAATCGATTGTAATCGATAATAAATAAACCAATTAACCCTTGTGCGTTTTCATAATTCTCTGAATAGGAAATTTTAGGGGAGCGATTCTTCCTTCATGTTCTGTTTAGGAGAGCAATTCATAGCTCGCCTCAGGTTGTGAGGGGAGCGTGGAGGCGAGCGCGGGCTATCGCTCGCCTCAAACGGCCAAGCCTGCAGGTTTCATTAAGAGCAAACAACGATTAGGAAGCAGAATATTTTGAACCCATACGTTCTTGAAAAGGCAAGCCTCAGTATAAAGTGTGAGATGTGATCTTTTCTCCTGTTTTGTAGCCTTTCTTCTTCTTTGCCTTTTCTTTTTGCATCAGAATAATCTCCTGATTCATGCAAAAGTCGTTTCTGCATATAAAGAAACAGTCGAATATAAAACAGCAACACTTGGTTAAACAAAAATTACTTTATCAAAGCTGTCAATGCATCCTTATTTAAAGACACCTGTCATATTATTAATGCTAAAATAATGGACTATTCAAAAATCATATTGGCAAAAGATACAAAATATTAAACATTGGCCACAGGCAATCTTGCATACCTCTCCTAGAATTTCCTTTAAAACGTTTCTCTATAAGGTTTATGCATTTTGGTTTATAGAACAGGATCACTTGAATAGTTGCCTAATGATTACTTTAAGCATGAAATGAGGAGTAGCAACTTAGAACTGCCTGTTGTGCCTACCAATATCAAGCATTTTATGACAGACTGGTAACCTGCAATTTTCATCCCTTAAAGGTCTATATTCAATTTGTAGTTTTGAATCATGTTTAGGTGTAAAAATTTTATTTTTGCACATAAATGACTGAAGGCTGACAACCATTATCTGTTGACTTTCAATGTAGGAGTCGCATACCTCCAAACTATCCTTAGGTATAACCAATAAATTAGGAAATGGTGCTGTGAATTTGAAAATCAAACTCACTATAGTTTCAATTACAGTGTTGATCAATGGGATCAATGTGTCAACCATAATAATCTATAATAATTTATGCAATCACCTCACTTCCTTCCAAGAAATCGGCAGGGAGAAAACCTTTCAAAAGATCTTTCATTCTTTTGTTATATTCATCACTGTCTCTTTTAAAGCGAATACCAAAGTTTTCAATCTCTCTGAGAACTGAATTGAAGAATTATCGTTATTTGTCACTGACAGACAATTTATCAAATCAACACATCAACAAATCATACATATAATTGATGATAAACAGTGACCACTCTCGGTTCAATGAACAATAAACATTAGGACATATTAATATAAAACTATTAAAACGCTGTAAACTTCTTGTTTGTTTTTTTAGTGCAACGTTATTGAAACTGGAGTAGGTACTGTTCTTGTTTGCAAAAAAATCCAATGGCGATGGCCGATGATGGATTAATTTTCATAATCATTTGATGGGTAGATTTTACTTTGAACGAATAAACCATCTCACATACAACAAAGGTAATGAATAGAGAAGGTGTGTTGAATATAAAACATAATTTATTATGCATTTTATATGACAAATAAAGCGTTTATTACAAATACAAAACTTTGAAAAATAGTAGGCCTAACCTTTCAGCCGTTCAACTGCAAACTGTTCGAATTCCTCAAGGGAAAGTTCCTCTGTAGGTGGTTTATTATAAATTTGCAAACAATGCCGATACCGTTCGGCAACATTAACAATGCCATGTTCGCCTCTGACTTCAAGCTTTGCTCTTTTTGTCCTCCCACGAAAAGTCGCCATTTTAACTAAACCTTTTCCCGCGCAATATTATAGGCCTCGATATAAGAATGAGGCGATGGCGCAATATTTGAATCACACCAAAGGCAAGAAATGGCTTCAGATTTTTGGTAGGTATGTAATATTTTACGAATTATTTTACATCCTTTTATCGTTGAATTTCGCTCATTTGAAGAGGGTGTATACTGATAAAACCATGGCGACCCCTTTAAGATGGTGAGTACGGCTAAGGCCACCTTTGACCAAGCACATCAAGGTTAGCAGTAATGTATGAATTATTATATGGCCTAATTTCGAGTTTCCGAAAGGTGAACCGCGACTTGAATCAAATTGAAATAGACTGTATTTTTTCAATTTGTATAATGGTGATATTTTATTCACTAAGCATTAACTGCTGAGAATGTTTAATGAAATGAAATAAAAAAATGAAATGAAAATGAAAAATGGATTTTATTTAGGGGTTTTATTCTATTTGCTGTCGGGGTTCTCATTGAATTAAATACTGCAATTCACATTTTGGTGTTAACATAATGAAAATAATCTTTCATATTTATACAGGTTAACTTGTTCAGAAAGTAAATTACTGTTAAACCAAAGGCATCAAATTTGTAGTAATAATATTCTAAGTAAGATCCGTACTAAGTTCTAGCATCCTACAGGTTAACTCGCTCATGCGTGCCATTGTTATTTTTCAAGTCCTATGTGCTGCTGCCATTTACGAGTTCTGAAGATTGGATTTTGCACGAAGGCCTTTCCATTGTCTCATGTGAATTTGGTAGGCCTTATCGTGCCTGTTGGGAATGCTCTTTCCATGCTGTTCTCTCCTTGCAACTGTTTATGACGCAGGCTTGCTGATAAGATGGTGACTCGCCTTCTATCAGGTATTTAACCAGATTGTTTTGGTGCCATTAGCTTGGTCCTCTTACAAAAAAATTTTGTTTAAGTGCGAATTTGATCATTCCCGCTTCTTTTAAAGTAAATTTTGCTACCACGTGCGCGTCCTTTCTTGCGGATTCTATCGCTCGGTATAAAGCGTTGCATTCATTTGATCTAAAGTTTCACAGCCATTTGTTTGTTAACATTTTTTGGCTGGCCCTTTGGGGACACTTGGTGAAATATTGGAGGACAAGCCTTTTCTTTTGTTAAGATGATGTCACATTTGTGCATTTTTTTAAAACAAAGGACAGCTGTCTTCCAAAATAACTGCCCCCTCTGCCCCCAAGTGTTATCTTCTTTGCTCCCAAGTGCTACCCCCTTTGCTCCTAAGTGCTTTAATCTTCCAAGATTCAAAATTGAAAATACACAAGCACAATCATGATATATTCTTACAAAATTTTGATCATGTATGTGTGTTTTGATTATGGTTTTAAAATCAATGAAGGTACTAAATTACCTAAATATATTTTGTCATATAACACACAGAAATCTCATCAAAACCGAGAACCATAAAACGCTTTCAAAATTTGGAATATGTGAATCGACCGTTATATTTACTGTAAGGGAGCCTGGTACGCTAGAGTGAATTATTAGTTAAATTTTACATTATTTTAAGATTTTTTCATAGTTATATTGTAATGCTCCCAGCTGTTTTGCGTCTTTTCTGTCCATTGCTTATTAGCGTGAAATGCTGGATTTTCCCGAAGAGTATCCACAAAAGCAGTTTTTAGAAATTTTATGCTAAAACCGAGTTCCAACAAAGGCATAAAACAAAGTGAATCGAATATAGCTGGATGAATGTAATGAAACAGAATTAGCCAACCAACAGGCTGGAAGACACGGCATTAGCAATGCAAACAAATGCCCCAGAAATCTATCAGGTATATTAGAACAGATGTTCCGAAATACGGAAGCTTGTGTGGTGATGTAAAGTTAGAGAATTAGTGAAAGAAAGGGTAACGGATTTAGAGACTCGTTGATGAAGCAAAAGTAAAAAGCTTATCTAGGGCTGCAGAAACATATACTGCATTAGGTGCTAATTAAACGGTTAAGGTGCAAGTGACTGGAAATCTCTGATTAACAAGCTCATTGACTTTAATGAAGGTGGGTGGAGGTGACCCAGCAATTCGCAATTGCAGGCTTGTTTCTGATTGATGACTTAACTTTGAGACTCCCTGCCAAGTTATAGCTCAAAGATGTGTGAGTTTTACCATTTTACAACGACCATAACGTCGACGATATTTTCATTAATGGGGAAAAATTGCTGTTGCGCGGCTATTCTTCATTCTACCAAGATTAGATTTTATCTTAATCTTATTTTATCCATACATATGAAATTTATTATATCGCATGTCTCTAAATTTTCGTTAGTCTATGACTAAGTCATATGCATTTTAATCCTGCAAACAATTATATGGTAGCGCAAGATTCAAAATGGCTTTGAAAAAGGTGATATTCTAATATTTTTATCTGACAGTCTTAAGAAGTATATTTCTCAGAATAATGATTAAGAATGTTGAGATAAAAAATGTAAGAACCTCACCGCGGATTGCTAAAAGTGGATAAACCATTTTGAAATTCTGACAAATTTACTTATGCTCTTTCCAGAGACCCGGGGTACATCGATAAACTGCCCGTAAATATGAAGGATCACTCACCAAAGATCCTTTGAAATGACAAAATTCTTAAATTTAAACCAACGATAGATATCTATAAGCGACATAAGAGAAGAGAATAGGCAACAGTTAGTGCCAACTACCGATAAAAGATATTACTTTTGGAGTCCAAGGGTGAAAACATACTCCTGTCCACACCACAGTGATTTTCATTCACATCGATTCCATTCTTGACACGTGTTTAAGAGGCTATTTAAGAAAAGTCAAAGTGCCTGATGTAAATTCGTAAAAATACTTCTTTTTCAACAAATAAAAGCCCAAGATGTGGTTCCTTTTTAGTGTCGTAAAAAGGCAGCTTTTACTAAAATATGCATTTTCAGCAAGATGAAAGATGCAACTTTTTTGCTTTAGTAGCCTAAACTTTGCCTTTAATATCAAACTTTTTGAATGACAAAACAAACAAACTTGACTTTTTATATACAACATCAATCCAGTATCAAGACCAGCCCCCTTCTCCTTTGTACGCAAACATACGTTTTTGACTTGTTCCCCTCCAAAGACCAAGATACAGCTTTTTGTTTGGGGGGGGGGCAGCCCTGATAAAAGTGTAACAACAGTCATATTTTACAAAATAAAAGTAGTTTAACTATGCTACTTAAGTTTTTTGGGGGCCTTGGCCCTCCGGTATCTCAGTCCTTGCTCCCCTCCCCCTGTCCTGCGTACGTACTATGTGAATGGCCCCTATATACAACTTTTTTCTTTGGGAGAAAATAAATATCGCGCATAAAAAAGTTATCGTTGGTTTGGCCCCTTAACATAGCTCAGATTTTTCATGTGGCTATGTTTATCCAAGTCCTGGAACACCATAAAAACTTTGATAGAATGCACATCCCTTCCAAATGATATTTGTTGTAACCAAACTAGAAACATTTAAGTCATGCTTACTTCTGCCCAAGTCTAGATATTTCCTTCTCTATTACATCATCATTATATCATCCTAACTCATCCTTATTCAGCAATTTCATTTCTGTATAAAAGTATGTTAATTTGTATGTAAGTTCAGTTCAGTTCAGACAAGAGTTATACAGGCAAAACACTGTCTCTCTCACTGGCTCCGTGTTCTCTGCACGTTAAATAAGATTCGAAGTAGCATCAGCGATGGAAAGTCAAAGAAAACAGGATGGGAGCCACGACAATACTTGCTACTTGATATCGTTACTATAACTCTTTGCCATTGAAGATATATATGTTCCTGAAGAAATATACATGCACTAGGTCTCTATTTCAAAAGCTTTATGATGAGCAATGTATTCTACAATTTTATATTAAGGTAAGTTTAAAACAAAGTTTTGAAACGATGAACAAAAAAATGTCTTATTAACACAGCACTGAATTCCTCAGTTCTCCTTCTCTAAAAGATATCTTAATCTACAATCAAATTCTCAAGCTTTGAGTAGCCAGCTTTTTTAAATGCCCGCCATAGTCCCGTCTTCTTCCCTATCCAACCAGGATTCTTATCAAAACTACTTTCGCCTGGAGTCCAATCCACTTTGGCTCATCGTCTGTATTGAAAGAACAAGTAGTGCAAGATACTCCGCCACCCTTGTACCACCAGCCTCCGCTGTATGTTTGAGCGCAATTCAAACGGTCATTGTCATTATCTCGATCAAACGTCGTAAACGGCGCACCATCGCAAGAAGTGAAACTGTCGTAAGCTGTCGATATCTCTTCGACAAACCGACCAGTTTTTAAAAGAAAATTTTGACTCTCGTCACCGATTGACATTCCATGGTAGATTGCCACAAAACTGTTACCATTTATCTTTTAAAAGAAAAACAAAGTATGTTAGATAGGCCCTTTCCTACCCTGGGTACCAGACTCACTATATATGAAATAAAATAGAGAGTCTGGTCTAGTGCGCCCCGTTCTCGTTCTGGTGTGCTGATATTAACCAATCAGGAGCGAGTGTACAGATTTCTGTACGTTCAAAGGTCACAGCGAAACAATAAACTTAGCTCTGGTATAAAACATTGAACAGAACAGAACATAAATAAATGCTAGCGACCGTAACGATTGAGTTTGAAGATGCTGTTAAAACTGTACTCAAAGAATATTTTCCGCATGTTGTGGAACTGAACACAGAACAGCATTGAAAGCCTTGTTTGCAGAGAGAAGAGACACCTTCGCCATATTGCCAACTGGCTTTGGAAAGTCTCTGATATTCCAGGCTGTGCCTCTCGTTGCAAAGAAATTAGGCCTTGTAGTGAAATGCAGTAGATAAGAAACACTACAAGGCGCCGAGAACAAACAACAACAAACACAGTAAATCAGTTATAGCTAATATTTCGCCCGGCATACGGGGCTTCGCTTGTCATATTGCCCATATTTGCTGTGGTGACCTTCCAACGTGATGATTCTAACCGCCGCGGTGTCCAAGCGCGCTGCCTTCACAGTTAGGAAGTAGACGTTGAAAGTACACACAATTTATGAGAAAAATTACAAAAGACTTATTTTAAGTTGTATACGAAATTTGATAATGATTAACATTTAATAACTGCATTGTGCTAACTTAAATTTCATTCTTCGCACATGTTTTTTGCTGCCAAATGGCGTTTTAAACCTGATTTGATTGTTATCTTGAGGCAGAAAAGTCTATTACCACTGTATTAAAAATGTCGACGTTAAAGAAAAAAATAAAACACATTTGCTTTAAAATTTCACAAAACTTCTCTGACTACTGAGTATCTTTGTTATTTATCCGACAGTCTCTTTCGCAGGCATAGTCTGTTAAATAGACTTCAGTTCTTTCAAGTAAGTTCACCAGAACGAGAATGGGGCGCACTAGACCAGACTCTCTATTATTTTATATAGTGAGTCTGGTACCCAGGGTAGCCCTTTCCACACTTAAATAGAACAATTTTGAATCTGTGCATTTTCACTTGTGGATAGACTTTCTGTTAACACGTATTCAATGAATTTAAATTCATTTATCTGAGTGGAAATTTTCGAATACTAAAAATTTGATAACTCATGTAACGACCGAATTCGATATGAATACGTGCGGTTGAAAAATTATATACTAATTAAATATTCCCACATATTTCTAGTTAAGTTTTCATGCGAATAGGTTTTTAGCATTGCCAGCAATTTTTATGTGATACTTTCAGTACTACCTTTAGTATCGAGACGTAGCTTATCATAATGTTAATGGTATTTTGTGTATTATGAATACTTAACTGGAATCTTGCAGGCAATGGTGGCGCCAAATACTACGCTCTGAGGGGGGACAAAACAAAAGGTTTTAGACCACGCCCCTTTTAGCACCAGAAAACGCCCTTTTACTAACAAGGAACACAATTTTTACCTGAAGTGAGCGCCCATTACTCGCTTTTGGCTATGTAAAGGCAATTTGAAAATCATAGGATTACATCACAAAAAGTACATTGCCAAAATATTACCCCTCCCCCAACATTTTCTCATCGGATTTAGACGAAATGCAAAATTGATCATGCCGAGAACTGGGGGGGACGTGTCCCCCTAGTCCCGCCCCCCTGTGGCGCCGCTACTGCTTGCAGTATTATCACGAATATTTTAGGGTGATCTCATACCTTCTTACGGTAAAGCATTACACAAATCGATCAAGTTCTCTTATAAAAAATGGAAACAAATTTCACATTCTCAAATCTAAAGCTAATATTGTTTACTAAATACTGAACCATATTTCCTTCAAACAGTATTTTCCGGGGCTTTGTTTGTGTCAAAAGATGCAGGTTGGTGAGGCCAATCCAAAAATTGGTTTTGAAATCACCGAAGCCGCCCTTATATTCATCCCAGCTCCTTAAGAAGCTAGTATTGGTGTCCGTTTTCTGTTGCATGAGTATCCATCCTTGGCCAGCCTTCACCATATCACAGTACACCCTCAACATTTCTCCGTTTGGCAAGGTTAAATCGTAAATATCACTGTTTCTCCAGCCAGCTTCGCGTAATTCATTGCATGTACGGAAAGCTGATTAACAAAGAGACAAGAAAACAAGTGAAAATGTGTCGAGATTTCACAGAAATGCCGGTGACAATTCAATGATATTCTGCAGGATAAGCAATAACATTGTGGTGATATTCTGGAATATAACCATATGTATTTTTACAAATCGATTCAGAATCGGAAGTACTATTTCCTCGAAATATTACTTAATTACTAACATTATGGCTGATAGATCAGGCACCGCGGAGCAGGGGATGGGGGTGGGGGTGGAGGCTTTAGCCACTTTTTGCAAAAAATGCCAAATATTAAGTATCAAACTACCTGAAAAGCCCTTTTTATACGGTTTTAGCCCCCCTTCACTTTTTTAGACCCCCCACTTTCCTCAACGCACGGCGGTGCCTGAAGATCTCGTCCTATTTTCCAGGCCTATCAAAATATAAGTATGATAATACCCACTCAGCCCGGGCTGACTTAAAACGGACCCACTCAGCCCGGGCTGACTTCAACCGGGCCCACTCAGCCTGGGCTGACTCAACTCGGGCCCACTCAGCCCGGGCTGACTTAAACCGGGCCCACTAAGCCCGGGCTGACTCAACCCGGGCCCACTCAGCCCGGGCTGACTCAACCCGGGCCCACTCAACCCGGGCCCACTCAGCCCGGGCTGACTCTAGTAAAATTGTTTCACTGCAGCAGCAAACTCTGGGCCAGCAATATTCCCTTCAGGCCCTTCTTTACCAGAAGAAGAGATAACTTCCAAATTACGTATAATCCCAAAAATTGCAAACTTTTCAATTGAGAAGTGCGCACATGAAAAAGAGGGTGTTTTGAGAGTACCTAGGACCCAAAACCCGGAAAATAGTTATGAAAAACGGAAAACCCGGACTTGGAAATTGGAAAATCCTGAGACAAATATATATACTTCAACATGGTTCACCTTTTCCCGTGTTCTGCATTAAAAGACCTTCGTACCCGCAGTTATTACCAGCAAGAATATTTGTCTGCAAGGCACAGGGTAGATCCTTGCCTTTTTTCTCCATTTGAAGATGTCATCAGTGTTTGCGGAAGAACAGAATTTTAGGGAAATTTGTCGTAGATTGCGGAAATCTGGCAATTTCTCAACGGAACGTGGGAATTCTACACACTTGCCGGACGCAGATTTTCTCAAAATAATACACGGATTGCAGAAATTTCAAAATGTCTAGCGGGATTCTTAACCTGCTCCTTGTTGGATAGGATTTCATCATCGCATGTTTTGATCTTGTTATGAAGTTGTTCATAAATAAACTTACATTCAGAGGTGGCACCAGAAATCTTCCGACAGAGTGGTTGGAGCTTCCAACATGGGGGCTAAATTGACTTTAATATGCAGTTTTCGTACGTTATTTTGTCAAATTTGCTCCGACAATAACCTAAAATTTTCTTCCGATAGGGGAGCTAGATGCTTCCGATGGAGGGACTGTATCGCCCTAGCCCTCCCCTGGCGTCACCACTGTATACATTATATTGCCCAGTTGCCCCCTATCTGCTATTTTTGACCAGAAAGTACTTATTTCCACATTGTAAGGGCGTGTATGTTGAATAAAAGTTGTTCAGCATGAAACTGTCTTTCAGAAAATGTACATATAATGTGGTTTTAGCGACATCAAAATTTGAACCGTGCTGATCAGTGCGCCATATGGGATTTGCCCAAATAAGGAATTCCCAATATCCAATTGATGGGGCTTTTTTCTGGTTATTCCCAGTATCGTAGGGAACCTATTTGCCAAATTACAGCTTTTTGTTATTTTTTCCCGGGTAAAGTCGTAATTCCACCACACTATAAGCCTATTTTGACATAATAACACAGGTCTCTACGCCTTTAATAAGTCTCACCTTTTAACACTGTCCTAACAACTAGTCATTCGTTGCCTTAAAAATGCCCCGCTCAAGCCCAAAATGGGGTAAGAAAATACTAGTGACTGCAGTAGGGTGGTATGATACATACTGTGCTGGACTTTTTTGTAGACTAGAGCAGACTCGTTTCCCTCTTTATTTACTACAGTGACTACGTCACAATCATCATCCGTGCTGCAGCCGTGGAATTTGGCAAGGTCCAGTGCTGCATCGTCGGTAGTATTACCAACTTGTTTGTAGAAAGCGGATCTATATTTCGATGATACGATGTTAAGCACTGCAAGCAACAACAAAAATTTTGAAGCTCTTTTGGAGGCCATCTTCCATCTGCTTACGCACAAAAGTAAATCTTTGACATTGTTACCTGACTTAAATACTTTTCTCGTGTCGCAGCTGAAAAAAACGTTTTTTAGCCCTTAAATAATACCTAGTCATAAAGCAAGTTTTATCAAAGCTTTTACTGGGTTCTTTTCCATAATTCACACTGTTCCCTAAAAATAACTATGTTCGGCTTCAATTAAACTAGACTTTTGCTGTGTCTAACCAAAGAAGGGAAAACTGGAAACTAAAGGGAAAAGCTTGGACTGTGATGGTTGATTGGCATGATAAGTGGTGGATAGGAGAACAATCATTATGACGGTCAACTTGACATTCTATTTAAAGACATACGCAGATGTTACCCTCGTTTAGTTTTGTGATTCAACTGCACTTAGTGACCGATTGGAAAGGATTCACAGGTTCCCTTCACCTTATTCAAATTTCTTGCTCTGAAATCTGTAGGATTTTTTGAAATTTATAGAATTTTCTACTTTAGACATTTCGGTTTAAAATTGAGCTCATGAAAATAGGAAGGGGCCAGAATAACAAATCACATGGAAAAATATTTTGCTTTCAAATTTCACAGAAAATATATTTTTTTTCATTTTAAGAAATGGAATAATTGTTGTTTGGAGAAATATTTCACAATAAAATCTTGAATTAAAGTATATCACGTTTAACAATATACCGTTTGCCACTTTCAAGAATTTGATTAACAAGACGCCTCTGCAATGTGCAAATGCTGTTTAGTGAAACGAACAAAGTGTGCCCAAACATGTCCAAAACTATTCCCCAACTGTATCACACATAATCAAAATAAATGATCAGTTATCACGTCACTTAGGGGAGAAAAATGTGTCACTGTGATGTCCGGTCGTCATTGCTATACACCGACGGTATCTATAGTTCAGCATCGTAGCAAAAATTCCACTACCATTTCTAGAAATAATTGCCATAAACAAAGTCATGCCGGAGCCGGTGGCTGGAGGGCAATAGCCCCTACACTTTTTGCTGAACTGTTATATTCAGTCAGGTAGTGGGATCAAAGATGATGGACGAAAAACTACCAGGAAACTTTGCCAATTTTTCTAGAGATATCTAGAGAAAATCTTGTTCATTATTTGTAATAAATCGCAATCTAAACTAAGCCGTTGTGTAATCTATCGAAACTGGGCCAGTTGGTAGCCATTTGGTAAGACCTCTTATAGGTACGCTGTTTGACGAAGTTCCTATATTTAATTTTGGTTTTGTTGTTGCGAATGCTGTCGTTTTTATGTCTGATTTAACGTGCAGAAAACACGGAGCCAGCAAGAGACGATATTGCGTGACCGTTGCGTCTTGATGAATTTACCGACTGACTATAATTTAGGGCGTATACACATATAACAAGGGGACGCTACAAATGTGTTGTTTATTACGTTACGTGGATACGAAGACAATGGAAAGTGTTAATGACAGAGACACAATGGAGGACATTATTACGTTTAGACAATGGTCACTACACTCTAACCGACTGGACCCTCTTGTCAGGCCTAGATGGGAATACCCCCCCCCCCCAAGGCTAATACCTAGTAGCTCTGGAAAAGGTTGGTTGAGAGCAGTTCGAAACTTTATTTTTTACTAATTTAATTCTTTATTGCCTATGACCCTGTTTACACGAGACCGGTTCCAAAAAGATCCACCTGCCTAACCGTACTAATTTGAGATCACCTAGCCGTACTTATTTGAGTTCACCTACGAAAGCGCACTCATTTGCAGCCAGTCTCACTTGGTCTCGTGTAAACACTCGAAACTGGATATTTTTGAGTACTCTACCGTAACGAGGGTATATTCTCCGGTGACGGAGGCTATAGTAAGAGGAAGCATTTTCTTTTGTTCGCTTTGGCGCCCTTTTTACGCATCATCGTGACAATCGCCAAGAAGCAAGTACGCTCTAATCATGGAAAAATAGTTTAAAATATCGTTGAATTTGATGTCAGTTTTATATGCACTCCCTGCAGCAGTCATCAGTGGTTTTTTGTTCGCAACCGTCATGTCAAAGGTTCATTGAACTCGACAAAGCAGGTTGGTTGCGTTAGCAGAGCAGAGCTTCAAACGATATGAGATCGTTTTGCACAAGCTGAGAATTGAAAAGAAATAGAAGAGAAGAACCATCTGAACGAGGCCTGGGAGAGCAGAAACCTGGTGGAGTAACTTTATTAATAAAACGAAAGCGAAGCGAATTTGGCCGAACCATTTCCAAAGAGGGGCGCCAGACTTGGTTCAACTAAGCGAGGGAGGGGCAACTGCCTCTAGTCCCCCCCCCCCTTAAATCTGCCACTGCCTTGGAGAACAGAAACCTGGTGGAGTAAATTTAGAAATAAAACGAAAGCGAAGCGAATTTTGCACCTTTTCACTTTTGTTGTCACGGTAATAGGGGCCTTCGACTCGAGTGTTTGTGCTTTCTTTCACAAACGATCTTGAGTTCACGTCTCGTGTGAAAAGAAAGCGTAAGTGAACTTTTTTGGAGACGGTCTCGTGTGAACAGGAGAAAGTGAACTCAAATTGATACGGATCTTTTTGGAACCGGTCTTGTGTAACCTTTTTGATTTTATCGAAGTAAGCAGCCATATGATTACTTTCAGCTAACACGTGATCAATCGAATTTTTGTTGGTGACCATCGGACCGTAGAAAACTAGGTTACAGAAAATTCACCGTATTAGTTTCTCTTGCTTGTTTCTCGCAACATGTATGTGATACAAAGCATGTAAAACCATTGTTCAGTAGCACTTTTGAATTACTTCATATGACCAAAATCTTTTTGCAATTTTCAGGGGTCGCGTTGGTGCCTTTTTAAGCAAACTCGCGTTGCATCCTCGTTTTAATTTTTGTTCCACTAGCGAGCTCATTTTCGTTTTTTTGCTATCGTTTTTGTGCCAGCTTTAGCACGTTTGTCGTGGCACAAAATTACCATATCAACATCTACTATCATAGATATTAATGCAGGATTTCAACTTAATAAATAAGATTGTACCGCAGTTTAAATTTTTCCAAGTCGTTTCTGCTTGTTTCTACTTGTTTCCTAGTTGTTTCTTACTTGTTTCCTAGTTGTTTCTACTTGTTTCTTCTTGTTTCTACTTGTTTCCTAGTTGTTTCTTCCTTGTTTCCTAGTTGTTTCTTCTTGTTTCTAGTCGTTTCTACCCATTTCCCGTTATAGTAACCAAGGTCAGAGTTCTTTTCCAAGAAAGGTATTTCAATGTTCAGATGCTTTTTAAAAGGTTGCTAAATTAGGCCAATATGCAAAACCCTTATAGTTAAGTTGTTTCTATGGAATCAATATTTTGCTTCCCATTTACTGGAGTGTTGTAAGGTTTCTTGTTATCAGTTGGGTACATTAGCTCGGAGATTTGTTTCTACATCATCTTTATGAGAAAAATTATCCTGTTACTCGCTCTTGAAAGGACAACTTAATGCTTCAGCCTAAAGGTTACCATTATGCTATAATGTTCGTATTTGTAAGAAAAAACAAATTTAAGAAATGCCCAAATCTAATATTTGCAAGATGTTGATGTTGTCATGAGATCTGCATGGTGTTTTTGTTCATTGCTTGCCCAAAGCTTAGCATCCATCGACACCAAGATTTCCTTTGCATGGATAAAACTTATCATTATTCATTTTGAAAAGGCTGATTGTTTCCTTTACTTAAACCTGTTGTTTTTAAGATATCATATTCGTTTTTTCTACAAATTTGACCTATTTGGTATAGCCGAAGATAATTAAACCGAGAATAATTAAAGGATAGCTAAATAGGATATTTGCTATTTCTGCGTATTGAATCTACGAGTGAATTGGCTTAAAAGGGAATTTTTTGCTCCCGTTGAACAAGTTTAGGAAAAATTGTTTTTTTGCCCGTGTTGAGTAAGTATGAGTAAATGTGCTGCTAACGTTGATCAATTAAAAATTAACGTTTTGCTCATGTTTAGCAATTATATGTGAATGCGCTGCTCATGTTGAAGTATGAGAGAAGTTTCCTTACGTTTGTGATATTGGCACCAAAATGGGCTTGGAGCCAAATCGGTTGTGCTCTGTGTATGTTAATTTATCTATCCTGCCCGATGTCTTTGTAACAAGCTAGGTTTTCTGTCTCCATCTGTATCGTTTCATATACATGTGTTAATTTACTAATGATTGCTTATACCTTTATTAATGATGTTATTTGGAAATTAAAGTTAGTTGAAGATCAGAGGCAAATAGACAAGACGTCATCTTCTGACACCGAACACACCACACGTTGGGCATGTGGAATGAATGTGGTGCTCAAATCAAGCAAGTAGGATTTTTATAGCAAAACTGCTGAAGTTGATATAGTGAGCTACTTTCCAGCAGTGATAAAAAGCCCTAAGAACATATAAACCTGGTCTTGGGCAAATCGAGGAGGCTTTCGTTATCAAAGAAAATATTTTATGTTATGATTCGTTTTTCTTCTGACTGATACCAGACTGGAAACTTTGCTTCTTGCGCGGGCAAGTTTATTTTGAAAATTTGAGACTGCGCGCCTGAAATCATGCTCTCTTAGTTATTTTTATTGTTAATAATGTTAAATGCTATTGTCTAGGGATCTAGGGGATTTTGCGCGGCCAATATGCAAAAGCGGGCAGATGTGTGCGCGGGCAATATATTGCGGGCGCGCAACAAAATTTCCAGTCTGGGACTGATACACGCCTGAGAAAAGCATACCACTGGAATTTGGAATATGTGAATCGACCGTTATATTTTCTGTAAGGAAATCTGGTAGGCTGGAGTGAATTATTAGTTAAATTTTCCATTATTTTTAGATTTTTTCATAGTTATATAGTAATTTTATGCTTAAACCGAGTTCCAACAAAGGCATAAAACAAAGTGGATCGATTATAGCTGGATGAATGTAATGAAACAGAATTAGCCAACCAACAGGCTGGAAGACACGGCATTAGCAATGCAAACAAATGCCCCAGAAATCTATCAGGTATATTAGAACCGATGTTCCGAAATACGGAAGCTTGTGTGGTGATGTAAAGTTAGAGAACTAGTGAAAGAAAGGGTAACGGATTTAGAGACTCTTTGGTGAAGCAAAAGTATAAAGCTTATCTAGGGCTGCAGAAACATATACTGCATTAGGTGCTAATTAAAGGGTTAAGGTGCAAGTGACTGGAAATCTCTGATTAACAAGCTCATTGACTTTAATGAAGGTGGGTGGAGGTGACCCAGCAATTCGCAATTGCAGGCTTGTTTCTGATTGATGACTCAACTTTGAGACTCCCTGCCAATTTATAGCTCAAAGAATGTGTGAGTTTTAAAAGCTATTTTACAACGACCACAACGTCGACGATATTTTCATTCATGGGGAAAAATTGCTGTTGCGCGGCTATTCTTCATTCTACCAAGATTAGATTTTATCTTAATCTTATTTTATCCATACATATGAAATTTATTATGAACAATTTTTTTGCGGTACAGAATTTGAAAATGGCTTTGAAAAAAGCAAACATTTTACAACATACTTAAAGCTTTTTCGTCTGACACTCCTCAGAGCATAAAACGTCAGAATAGGTTCCGAAAAAACACGATGGAAAAATATATATACCCAGTTGTGGATCGAAATTGGTAACACTTCCTTGCGATTCGAGAGTCAGATTAGGCAAGCCATAACCAATTGTTTCTTTGCTGTCAATCCTCGGATTGTTTACAGCACTAGGAGAGCCCTTCCATCCATTCAAAAGGATTGCGTCCCTACCAAACAAAAAAGTTC